CAGTACCCTGATCTGAATAATGGTCATAATGATTAAGTAACTTGAATAGCTGTTAGGATTAAAGGAAATGAAATATAACGTGTATTTGCTTACTGCAGTTCCATACATATCACTTTCCTTCCCTCTAGATCACCACCTATGCTTTTGCCCCAGCCTGATTCAGCACTTCAAGGATTAGCCAACGCATGTAGCCTGACACCCAGATCCGTGGGCACGAGGCATGGGATTTCAACTCCTCCGTCATCTTCATTATCCAAAGGGGTTGCTGCTTGGGTTCCCCAGGGGTCACAATAGCAGGAAATTGTGATCAACCATTTCTCCAGCCCTGAAAGCCCATCTTCTAGAGGGAGGCTGCTGCATGTCCTTTAGGGAGGGCAACAAACGGAACGTCATTCCCACCCTGCCACTGATCTGGAGTGACGACTTAGGCTCTGTCAGCCTGAGCTTGGTCATCTGTGAAGTAAGACTCATGATACCAGGGCGCCTGGGTGGCTCAGTTGGTTAAGCGACTGCCTTCGGCTCGGGTCATAATCCCGGAGTCCCGGGATCAAGTCCCACATCGGGCTCCCTGCTTGACGGGAAGTCTGCTTCTCCCTCTGACCCTCTTCCCTCTCGTGCTCTCTATCTCTCATTCTCTCTCTCTCAAATAAATAAAAAATCTTTAAAAACAAAACAAACAAACAAACAAAAGACTCATGATACCAGATTCTTTTGTCACAGAGCAGTCCCAAGGGGTGAGAAAACCTGCCCAGAGGATACAATATGTAGTGGGATTTCTCGGCCCTTTAAATGTTGTGATTTGGCAATAGGCGTTGGCTGAGCCTCAGGGCTAAGGCAGGCTTCATGAAAAGTTGTTTCTCATTGTTTCCCCTAATGAGGTTACAGACATGTAGAAGAGAGGAGCAAATATGTCTCGGACATGGCCTGAGGTCAAAGGTTTGGGGACAGAAGGTGCTCTATTTCCCTGGATGTTTCTGAAGCTCCTAACAGCTGCTCACCATTGTGCTTGTGAGCAGAACCTAATGCAGCTCCCCATGCTGGGAAAACAGGCTTGTCTTTGATTCACCTGGTGAGCTCAGGGGGCGATGGCACCAGGGCAGCAAGCTGTGGTGTTTGCCAAACTGCTGCTCCAGGATGGCTCCTGGACATTAAATGTCCTAATACATTTATGGAAAAATTCTGGACCCATCTTGAAGTCACCAGTGCATTATTCAGCCACACCATACTAAGATATCAGCCATTTACTGCTTTCCTAAGAGACAAAAATTCAAGAATTATTAGCATTTCTTTGACATACAATTATCCATTCCTCCATTCACTAATAACTAATAAATATATATATTGAGCTTATGAGTATATGGGCAAACTCAAGGGTTAAATCTGAGATGAGATAGCTCCTTCCCATTAACTTTTAAACTTGCTCGAATTTCAAGGAATTGAAGATTTTAAAAAATCCCTCCTTGATCTCCTCATCAAAGTTCCAGAAAGTTTCCTACATTTCTTGTTAACATTCTTTACTTCCCGCTAACTCTTCCTTCCACTGCACTATGGCTCTGTCCCCATGATTGCAGTGAACATGGTCTCACCAAGGTTACAAGCCACTTTTTGTCACTAGGTCCACTTTGTATAAAACTATAAATATATTATAAATATATGAATATTACTTTTAATGACCACCTAAAACACTCATGCTTGTGCAAACTGCTTCTGTCACTTCACAAATCTGACAGTTTCCAGGCTCTAGACCATGAGGTACTGTACAAACCCAAGCTGTACTACTCCCTAACTGTGCAGGCCTGGGCCAAGTCCTTATTCTCTCTGCACCTCAGCTTTTCATCTGTAAAATGGGATTAACAACATATCTAACTCACAATAGTTCTGTGAGCATACGTGACTCAGTACATATTAAGTACTTGCTACATAATACCTTTTAGTCATTTTAATGTCTTTGTCTCTATCTTTATTGGCCATTAATATCTCTACTATCCCTATGATATACATTAATGTTTATTCACAATCAATGACCTCAGAGGTATGTTGTTAGAAGATGAGCAGGTCGGGGCGCCTGGGTGGCTCAGTCGGTTAAGCGTCTGCCCTCAGCTCAGGTCATGGTCCCAGGGTCCCGGGATCGAGCCCCGCACTGGGCTCCTGGCTCAGCGGGGAGCCTGCTTCTCCCTCTCCCTCTGCCTCATGCTCTCTCTCTCTCTCTCTCTCTCGTGCTCTCTCTGTCAAATAAAGTCTTAAAAAAAAAGATGAGCAGGTCACAAAACTAAATGTAGGATGAGACCATTTGTACATGAATACATGCATATGTGCATAAATGTGTAAGTACCAGCACAAGAAAATTTCTGAAAGGATATAATGCAGATGAAAACCTTAGCAGGGCTTTTCTTCTGGTAGTTATGTTTGAGGGTAAAATTATTCCCTTTTTATGTTAATTGTTAGTATTTTTTACATTATCTAATTTTTACCTTGCAATAAATACTCTTGCAATTATACAAAACAATGAAAGCAGTAAAATTTAAGCATTCTCAGCCCACCTATAGGAAAGCCATCAGCTTAAGAACAGGGACATCCCCAAGGCACAGGACAGGAAAGAAGATACTGGGGGAGCCCCTTCTACAGTAAAAGAGGACATAGTTCCCCAAATTCCAAACTATGGTAATTACGATCAATACTTTAGATCTCTGCTTAGTTAACTGGGGAAAAACATGGTACCCTAATTTGTTTCATTTTTCTTCACCCTGATTAAAAGTAAGGTTGACAGTTTTATCATATGAGAGGCAGTATTGTTCCCTGGGTAGATGAAGTGACTCAGGAGCCACAAGCCCATGTTCTAATGATTTACGAGCCCTGTCCTCGCTGTGCCTCAGTTCCCTGATTTCAAAGTCCGGCAACAGTAGCTCCACTTCATAGGCTGTGGTGAGGATGAAATAAGTGAAAGCTTAGCACTGACACCAGTGTGGGGCACTGAGGGAGTCAGAAATATTAACCTTTCTTATCCTTATTATCATAACAGAACACATTAGAGATTCTGCCATTTTTATTACTATATGGATGTACACCAATTGGCATGGATTGATCTTCATAATATATTTGTTGTAAAAAAGCAGTTTACAAAACTGTTAAGTAGGATATTCTTTCATTTCTGTTCTTAAATAAACAGTGACATACCATAAAATTTCTGAAAAAACATATTCAAATGATAACAGTGGTTACTCATGAGTAGTAGACTTTTAAAGGTTCTTAACAATCTTTTCATCTCCTGCATTTTGCATTTTTATCTACAACAAAAATGTCCTGACGGGCAGCTGGGTGGCTCAGTCAGTTAAACATCCAACTCTTGATTTCGGCTCAGGTCATGATCTCAGGGTCATGAAATCAAGCCCCAGGTCGGGCTCCACGCTCAGCAAGGAGTCTGCTTCTCTCTCTCTCTCTCTCTCTCTCACTCTCTCTCCCCTTCCCTCTCCCTCTGCCCTGCCCCCCACTCACTCTCTCTAAAATAAATAAATAAATCTATTTTAAAAAATGTCTTGATTTTGGAAGTAAAAGAAATATATATCCTTAGCCCTTCCCATAAGAAAGTGGTCCAGGATCAGAATGGGTAATATCACTCAGCCAAGGGAATTAGGTAATAGGATGGTCTTAGAACTAATTTAGTAATCTATCACATGACAGTTCCAATAGGATGTCTTTGGGAAAATTACAGATGCCTAGGGGAAAAGCAGGCATGTTGCTCATATAAGCCTTTCATTCTACACACAGACAATGTTTCTACTTTTATTTTCACAACATTCTTCTCTTATCTCCCAAATAAAGTCCTCTGAGTGGAAAGCAGGCCCATGGGTTTAACCTCCCAGTTAGTGAAGCATTAAATAGTAAAAGAAAAGGAAAATATACAGGTGTCCAGCACTTGTAATAGAAATCAGCTCAAGTTCAAAATGGGATGCATCCCTAAACCAACTTAGGGATTTGGTCATTAGTCTGTACACAGGAAAACAAACTCCCTACAATCACTGTCTTCTTTCACCAGAGTGGCCCAGATTAGATTCTGGATCTACAGGCCTAGATGAGTAACAGTGCGAAGGAAAGCCAGAAAATTAGGCCTGGATAAACAGGAAGATGCTTTGCATTTAGGATACATTCAGGTATTGTCTCACAGTAGCTGGCATCTAACAAACTCTAAGACTTTGAACACACAAAAAAGTAACTGAAAATATTATGTCTGAAATCTGTCCATGCTCCTTATGACATATAATCTGAGAAAATGGGTGTGTCTATTTTTAGAAGCTTGGAAAGAAAATACATAAATACATATAGCAAGGAGGCTTATAGGGCAGGTCACACTGTTGAAATGTGAATGTGGATTAGTTTTTCTCATATTTCTTCCTTTTTACTTTCTATGAGATAGCCAAGCATCTATGGATAAACATATGCAACAATACCATATTTTTTGTAAAGAATATATACATATGTAATAAAACTATAGAGAAATGTATTAAGAATGAAAAATCCAATGTTTTGTTAGTAGTACCCGTAGGTAAGAAGGAGACTAATGCAATCAGAAAAGAATTCAAATGAGATACATAATGTTTTATTTCTTAATATGAGTATACTGAACTCCATTATATAATTTCTATAACTTTTTGTATGTGGAAATACCATAACAGTCACTGTTCGATGAGTTTATATATGCTGTAAGCAATGATCCATTCTAATTTGGAAAATTTTGGAAAGCACAGTTAATTCCAGTGATACATACATAATTAGTCAGCAAACCAACCACCCATTAATATAAAAAATATTGTCAGGGGCACCTGGGTGACTCAGTGGGTTAAGTGTCCGACTCTTGATTTTGGCTCAGGTCATGACCTCAGGGTTGTGAGATCGAGCCCAACATTGGGCTCCATGCTGGACATGGAGCCTGCTTAAGATTCTCTCTGCCCCTCCCCCGACCCTCTCTCTCTCCTCCTCCCTCTCTAAAAAAAGATATTGTCACATTTGTTCATTTTCTCCCATTATATTCTCTATGCATGCATATATAATGTATATACATCACATGTGGGTTTCCGATATATGAAGACTCATAATTTGCTTTATGAAGATCACGAAACCAGCAGTGAAACATGCCCAAGCTTACATCACACTCCACAAAGCCCGTGTTCCTATCCACTGGGACATATAATCTTTTTCTGTGTCAGGGCTGAGGTCGGCAAAGAGGAAGTGACTACCCATGGTCCTGTAGGCAAGAATTTATCTGATATTTTGGATGCAGGTCTTCTGTTCCCAGTCAGTTTTGTTGTAACCCCATCTTCATACTCTCTTATTCTGTACTGTTTCCTTTCTGGAGATCAATGGGGCCGGCTATTCCAATACCAAAATGGACAATAAAAAAGAAAATCAGAAAGTAAATATCAAATAAAAATTTGATGAGAAGACAAAGTAAAAAGTAAAGAGAAGATAATATGCTTCCTCTTTCCCATCATCCCCAGGTAACTCATCTTACAAGAAATGGTACCAAATCCTACACATAACATAAAGAAAATAAAAAATATCTCATTACTTCAAAAACCATGCAAATTTCAACTTGAATGAGAAATGACAGTCAACATATAAAAACAACAAGATGCCACAGATGTTGGAATTATCTGATAAAGATTTTAAAGTAGTCATTCTCAAAATGCTTCAAAGAGTAATTATAATTATACTTGAAATTAAGGAACAGAAATTCTCAGGAAAGAAACAGAAGATATATAGAAGAATAATATCAATACTTTAGACCTGAAACACACAGTAACTGAAAATTTTAAAACTCAGTAGATGGACTCAACTGAATGGAGAGGAAAAAGAAAAGAATCAATGAACTTGAAAACAGAACAACAGAAAGTACCAAATTTGAGCAACAGAGAGAAAACAGATTAAAAACAAAAAAGATAACGACAACTCAGGGACCTGTGGGACTATACCAAAAATCTGAAATTAGTGACATGGTTATCTTAGAAAGAAAGGAGAAAAGGTACATGGATAAAAAGTATTTGAAGAAATAAAGGCTAAAACCATGTAAAATATTATAATTCATATTAAGGGGATTTGATATTATCTAGTAAAATTACTAGAATATTTAATCTTGGAACCAGCAATTTCTCTTCTAAGAATCTATCCCAAAGATACAATGCAAAAAGACAAAAAAGCATAAGTACAAGGCCATTACTAGCAAAACAATCATAATAGTAGAAGATAAGAAACAAGACAAATGTCTACCAATAGGGGACTGGTTGAATAACCTATAGTACATCTACACCCTAGAGTACAATGCAAGTATAAAAAACATGAGGGAAAGATGTGGTGTATATATATATATATATATATATATATATATATATATATATATATATGTATATATAATGGAATATTATTCAGCCATTAAAAAGAATGAAATCTTGGGGTGCCAGGGTGGCACAGTCAGTTAAGCATCCGATTCTTGGTTTTGGCTCAGGTTGCGATCTCATCATCATGAGATCGACCTTCTTGTCGGGCTCATGCTCACCACAAAGTCTGGTTCAGATTCTCTCTCTCTCTATCCCTCTGCCTCTCCCATTTGTGCTCTCTCTCTAAAATAAATAAATCTTTTAAAACAAGAATGAAATCTTGCCATTTGCAATAATGTGGATAGCACTAGAGAGTATTATGCTAAACAAAATAGTCAGAAGAAGACAAATACCATATGATTTCACTCATATGTGGAATTGAAGAAACAAAACAGATGAGCAAAGGAAAAAAGAAAGAGAGAGAAAGAAAAACCAAGAAATAGACTCTTAACTATAGAGAACAAACTGATGGTTACCAAAGGGTATATGGGGTGGGTGGATTAAATAGGTGATGGGGATTAAGGAGGGCACTTGTCATGATGAGCACTGGGTGATAAATGAAATTGCTGAATCACTATACTGTACAACTGAAACCAATATAATACTATATGTTAACTAGCTGGAATTAAAACTACATAAAAAGTTAAAATTAAAAATAAGAAGCATGAGGGATTCCTCCCAGCAAAAGGTAACAGAATACAAAGCCCCAGACCTTGTTTCCCCACAGAGACAATAATGTAACAATATGCAATCCAAAAGACCTTTATGAGAACCCCAGAAACCAGTTAAAAAGTTGTTATACCCTAGCAATCACAAAACCAAGAAGAGCTATATTAATACAGGTAAGAAAAGCCACTGCATTTCACCCACATTAGCCCCTCACCCAAGCCAGCACAGCTCAGAGCAACTGGGGGAAAATGTCCAATTTGCAGTTTCTCCTTCAAGAGCAAAAGAGAAGAGTGATACGTACATCCAAGGTTCTGGCTTTTTAGGGGCTTCCCAAGGGATTGATTTCTGTGTCATCTGACGCAAAATGCTGACAGGGGCCAATGAGAGCAAATGAGAGCTCTGTAGCCTACTGAAGAACCAGAGAACCTGCAGTACCACAGACCAGAAGGAACAAGATTCCAAGCTCAGAAAAAAAAAAAAAAGCCAAAAAGTCACTCTGATTGGGAAATTACATGAACAAGCCCAGAGAAAATGCACCCCCAAAAAAGATTTGAGAGGTTCCCCACAATTTCTAGCCAGGCTGACCGGTAAAGATCATCCTCTGTAAAAAACCAGTCCATAAGGACTGGGAAAGGAGGCTGCTTTTTCAAATGTATAAATCTCATCAAAAAGTAACAAGGCATATAGAGAAATATGACCCAATCATATTTCCAAAATAAATCTTGGAAACCAATCATAAATACATAAATAGCTATGAATTATTTGACAAAAAATTCAAAATATTCATCTGAAGGAAGTTCAGGGAGTTACAAGAGAACACAGACAACTAAATAAAATCGGAAAAAGAAACATGATCAAAATGAGAATACCAACACAGAGATAGAAACTACACAAAAGAACAAAACCAAAATTCTATGGCTGAAAAACACATTATTTGAATTGAATTGATTGTGGTATTGCATAGATCTCCTTTAACTCTAGTATAGTATTTAAAATATAAAAGAATAAAAATAATTATAACTATAAAACTACATTAATGGATACAAAATATAAAAGATGTAATTTGTGACATCAATAAAAAAGTGGGGGGGACATAAAGGAGTAGAGTTGTCATATGCAATTGAAGTTAAGTTTTTATCAGTTTAAAATAGACTGTTATAACTATAAAATGTTTTATATAATCTCCTAGTAAACACAAATACCTATAGAACATACACAAAAGGACAACAGAAAGCATATCACAATAAAAAAATCAATAAAACACAAAGAAAGTCTAGGAGAAAAGAAAAGAGGAACAGAATAAATGTAAGATGCACACAGAAAACAATTAACAAAATGGCAAGAGTAAGTCCTTCCCTATCAGTGATTATTTTTTTAAGATTTTATTTTTAAGTAATCTCTACACCCAATGTGGGGCTCAAACTTAAACCCTGAGCTCAAGAGTCGCACTCTCTACTAACAGAGCCAGCCAGGTGCCCCAGTAATGACTTTAAATGTAAATGGACTAAACTCCCCAAAAGATATAGAGCACCTGAACTGATAAAAAAAATAAGCCCAACTGTATGCTGTCTTTAGATATAAGGATACACATAGGCAGAAAGTGAAAGGACAGAAAAAGATATTCTGTGCTAATTGTAACCAAAAGGGAGTAGGGATGACCACAGTTATATAAGGAAAAATAGACCTTAAATCAAAATTGTCATGGGAGATATATAAAGATAAGAGGGTCAACAGGATGTTATAACAATCATAAATATTTCTACCAAACATCACAGCACTCAAATATATGGAGCAAACGCTGACAAAACTAGAGGAAGAAATACAGAGAAGCACAATAATAATAAGAGATTTCAATAGACCACTTTCAATAATGGATAGGAAAACCACACAGAAGATCAATAAGGAAAGAGGATTTGAACACTATAATTGCACCTAACAGATATATTAAGAATACTCCAACCAACGAAAGCAAGATACACATTCTTCTCAAGCACATATGAAACATTTTCCAAGATAGATTATGTTGTAGGCCACAAAACAAAATTTTAACAAGTTTAAGAATGTTGATATCATACCAAATATCTTTCCTGATCACAATGGAATGAAATTAGGAATCAACAGCAAAAGGAAAACTAGAAAATTCCCATTATGTGGAAATTAAACAATACACTCCTGAACAGCCAATATGCCAAAGAAGAAATCACAGAGGAAATTAGAAGATATCTTGAGACAAATGAAAATGAAAACAAAATGGGATGCATCAAAAGCAATACTAAGAAGGAGGTTTATGGGAATAAAGGTCTACTTCAAAAAAGAAGATCTCTAATCAACAACCCACCTTTACATCTCCAGGGAATGGAAAAAAAGAAACAAACTAAATCCAAAGTTAACAGAAGGAAAGAAATAAAGATTAGAGCAGAGATCATTGAAATAGAAAATAGAAAAACAGTATTAAAAAGTCAATGAAACTAAGAGTTGGTGTTTTGGAAAAAATCAGCAAAGTTGACAAACCCTTAGCTAAATTAACTAAGAAAAAGAGAAGACTCAAATAAAAATCAGATATGAGAGACATTACAACTTATGCCACAGAAATAAAAAGGATCACAAGAGACTTTTTTTGAGAGAGAGAGAGTACGAGCAGGGGTAGAGGGACAGAGGGAGAGAGAGAATCTTAAGTAGGCTCCATGCCCAGCGCAGAGCCTGACGCAGAGCTCAATCTTACTACCCTGAGATCATGATCTGAGCTGAAATCAAGAGTCAGACGCTTAACCGACTGAGCCACACAGGAACCCTGATCACAGAGACTTCTATGAATAATTATACAACATCAAATTGGATAACCTAGAAGAAATGGGTAAATTCCTAGAAACGTACAAACTACCAAGACTGAATCATGAAGAAATAAAAAATCTAAACAGATCTATAAATAGTAAGGAGATTGAATCAGTAATCAAAAAACTCCCAACAGGGGTGCCTGAGTGGCTCAGTCGGTTAAGCATCTGCCTTCGGCTCAGGTCATGATCTCAGGGTCCTGGGACTGAGTCCCACATCCAGCTCTCTGCTCAGCGGGGAGCCTGCTTCTCCCTCTCCCTCTGCCGGCCACTCCCCCACTTGTGCACTCTCTCACTCTCTCGCTCTGTCAAGTAAATAAATAAAATCTTAAAAAAAAAAAAAAAACCTCCCAACAACAACAACAAAAGCCAGGACCAGATGGCTTTGCAGGATAATCCTACCAAATATTTAAAGAAAAATTAACACCAATCCTCCTCAAACTTTTCCAAAAAGTTGAAGAGGAGAGAGTATTTCCAAACTCATTGTATGAGTCCA